ACTGAACGCTGGAATTTGACACAGCATTGTAAAATGATTATAAATCAATAAAAAATTTTTAAAAAATTCACATTTGCAAATAAGAGTCCTCTTGCAGTCAGATTACCAGGCCTACAAGTTCCAATCAGACACACTGTCCACCAGGGCACATGGTTACTGTGAGCAAAGCCCCAAGACCCCTGGGCTGGGGCCCCTCAGGAAAGCCCTTGTCTGAAGTCTTCCTCAGAGGACAGAAAACGCAGCTGCGCTTTACATTTCAGGCTCCAAAACCACCCACAGCCTGCACTGGCAACATTAATCACAGAAAGGAATCCCTGCCAATCACTTTATTTTTCCTCCATAGGAGCCAGTCTTGCAATGTTCCGAATTTGGAGACCTGCGAAGTCGCCATTTATGGGGGAAGAGACACGCAAGCCAGAACACTTTTGGGAAAAGAGCGAGCATCGACGGAGCCTCTCCTGACTTTCCGAAGCAGGTCGCCCCCGGGGGCTGGTTCTCATTGCTCTCCCCATGCAAACCCACAGGGCCCCGGGGCTCTAAGCACTGCCTCCCCTCTCCACCCCCGACTCTTTCCGCAGCCTACGCTGAGCTGGCACTCCGCTCCACGTCTCTCCGCACAGAACGCACAACTGGGGTGGGGGGCAGGCACCCACCTCACCCAGCAGGGGGCCACCATGTCTGCTGCCCCCACCCTTCACGGGGAAGACTGTAATAACTATCTTTATGCTACCCTTAGCCAGCCAGACCAGAACAGCAATAGCCGCTGCTGCCAGAGGATCTCCTTACAGAATCCTGAGCCTCCCTCAGCAACAGCCCCTAAAAAAGCCTCCGGACTCCCCTTCCACTTGGAGAGCCCGCGGCCACCCTCCCGGCGCGGTCTGTCAGCACCCTGTTCACCGCGGACGTGGCACCCGGCAAGAGTGACTCCTCCCGCCTCCCAGCAGCGCCCCTCACCATCCAGGCACCTCGCACCCCCTGGGTACAGCCCAGGCTCCCAGGGCCTTCCATCCATTCCAAGGGGCGGCCGGCGTCCAAGCCGCGCTGGGGGCGGGGGAAGGGGGTACATTTTGCTGCCGCCCTCATCCCCTTGCGGTGCTTAGCCTGAGCGGGCGCACAGCTGGTGTGGCCAAGCGGAGAATGTCACCTCTCCGAGAAGCCCTGCTCGTGATCGCTCCGGCACCCCTGGGAACCTCGGGTGCCTGGCCCTGCGCAAGGCTGCCCCAGAGTCCCCGCCCCCCACCAAGCCACTCTCCAGGCTCCCAGGCTGTCCATCTCTCTGCGCATCTCTCGCGCCTCCCAACCCCCAATGGCTCCCGCCCACGGCACCGGGTCCCCGTGCGGCTTTGGCCAGGTGGCTCGCACCTTCCTCACCGTAGACATCCTCGGGCACTCCAGTTCAGCAGGTGCCCGGGGACTTGGCCTGATCGCGCGTCAGCCAGCCCGCCCAGGGATCCTCGCTGCTGCCACCTCTCTGACCCGCTGGAGCTCCTTGCACCGTCCAGCTTTAGGGCTGGCGCCTGCGAACTGGGCGCCCAGGAAGGCACAGCGCATAGCGC